AACTTCTTGGATCTCTTTACTCACACTGCTTCTGACTCTCCATTTCATGGTTACCCAACTCCAGTTTGACAATCACGTCCCTCCACTTGAGGCCTTTCCTTTTCTCTTCTCCTTATAGATGCCCACAAGGGGGTGGGGGCAAATGACAACACATGTGTGATGGCATCATTACACAAATGCCATGACTAATGTGCCTGTGTCAGATGTTGCAATGTAAGAACATGATTGAGACATATGCGTAATGATGCCATCATGCACATGTTTCCATTGCAGCATCAACACAGCTGGTTCTGGGTGCTGTTGCTTCTCCTTTGCCCCTTATTGTCTTTGTCATCCTCTTTAGCTGATTCTCTTGCCCCTTTGCTCTCTGGCACTCCCTTCTCCTGCTCTTTATTTCTTTGCTCTCTCTTTTATGCCTTTTATTATTGTTTCTTGTCCTCCCTCTGTTTCTTCTACTCTGTCTTTTTCCACCCACTTCACTCATTTTGTCAAAATCTTCTGTAGGACTCACACTGAGGATCTTCTTCCTCCGGGGCAAATGGTACAAGGCCCGCTAGATGGAAAGCTGGGTGCCACACTGCGCCTAGATGGGTCTTGAGTTCACCTCAGGCATGACCATTTTGGAGAATGGGATGATGACCCCCAGGAAACTATTTCATGATATACTTGGCCCAGGGTTCTGTTTTTGTTTATTGGTTTGCATTCAGTAGTCACAATCTGCCAGGACAGCTTAATACAAAAGATACAGTCTGTTCCATGGGCAGGATGGAACTATAGTAGCAAAAAGCAATTTCTTCAAAGGAACAAACTAATTCAAATTCACCACCTACAAATCTTCTTTAGAGACACTATTTTTTCCTTTGAAAAACAGCTTTCTCTGGGACAAACTTTACATGCAGTTTAATACCCTGTTATATATTATATACTGGACTTTTAAAATGAAAGAAGTTCTATCAGCTAGTTAGGGGTGTGTGTGTGTGTGAGAGAGAGAGAGAGAGAGAGAGAGAGAGTGTTAATGAATGCTGTCAGAATAGATATAAAAGGAAATTCAGCTATTTCCTCTCCTGTTGCAGACCTAAAGAAAAACTCTCTTTTGAAGCTAACATTTGCTTTGGGAGAAAGCTCCCTACTTGGCATCCAACTGCA